AGGTGCGGGTAGGGATATTATCCCTGCCAAGCACGAAAACGGCAGAAGCATGTACCGTACGGTACGAGGACACATGGATGTCTCCAATTTACGCATTACTGACGAACGGAACCCTGCCCACCGATAAGTCCCAAGCTCGGAAGCTCCGTTATCGATCGGCAAGATACACAGTCATCGACGATGTTCTGTACAAGCGAGGCTACACCACGTCGTATCTGAAATGCCTCACTAAGGAGCAGGGGGACTATGTCCTTTCGAGAAGTCCACGGTGGGGTCTGCGGTGACCACTCAGGGTCCCGATCTACACCAAGATGAGAACGTCCTTGTCAAGAAGTGCGACACATCCCTGCCGAGCCTCTCTCACCGATCGTAAGCCCATGGCCTTTCGCCCAGTGGGGACTGGATTTGATTGGCCCCATGCCGCAAGGAAAGGGCCAGGTCAAATATACTGTTGTCGCCGTAGATTACTTCACCAAGTGGGTAGAGGTCGAACCCTTGGCTACGATAACGGCATCCAAAATGGAAGATTTCATATGGACAAACATTTGCTGCCGATTCGGAATCCCCTACGCAATTATCACCGATAACGGCAGGCAATTCGATTCGGAAGCCTTTAGGCAATTCTGGACTCGCCTCAAGATCAATCTGTTCTTTGCTTTACCAGCTTACCCCCAATCGAACGGTTAGGTCGAAGCAATGAACAAAATTATCAAGAAGCTATTGAAACGGCAGCTTGACAAAGCTAAAGGAGCCTGGCTGGAGAAGCTTCCAGAGGCGTTATGGGCCATCTGGACATCCTACCGAACGGCAACCAATGAAACACCGTTCTCCATGACTTTTGGCTTGGAAGCGGTAGTCCCAGTGGAAATCGGAGAGCCCTCCTACCGAACGGAAGCTTTCGCACCAAAGGCGAATGAGGAGGCGCTCGCCTTGCGCCTCGACCTGATTGAAGAACACCGAGCACAAGCCAACATTCAGAACGAAGCTTACAAGCAGCGCGTCTCTCAGTACTATAACTCCAGGGTCAGATCCCGCTCGTTCTGAGTCGGAGATTGGGTCATGCGAAAAGTCTCTCTAGCAACTAAGGACCCCAGGAAAGGAACCCTTGGACCTTCCTGGTTACGAGATCATCGGCATCCAGCAATCGAGGACTTATCGACTCAAGGACTCCAACGGAAAGACCCTCGGTCATCCTTGGAACGTAGAGCATTTGAAATACTACTTTAAATGAAGTCACCTAGCTTACGGCATGTAGAAAACATTGTTAAAGCCTTCGGCTTATTCTTGCTCACAGCCTACGACAGTATAGAGTTCCCTAGCCTACGGCAGGTTTTCAATTGTAAAACGAACTCCAAATATATCTTTGCCTTCGGCAACTATTAATGAAAAGGCATTCGACGCTTATATTCGCAATCTTCGGTGTGTTTCATTTTTCAAAAAAAAAAAAGATGAGGTAGAGACCATCGATCGCAGTATACTACATTTTAAAATCCTTTTATTGCCTTCGGTAATTGCAGTACCACGGTATTCTTTCCTACCGACAGAGGTTTAACTTGTCTTTTAGTAAGCCTATTAAAAGACTTTAAGATCACCTTATTTAGCCATCGGCACTTGAAAGGGAAATTTCAGAGTCACTATAACTAGCCCTCGGAAGTAAAGTGTTAAATCCAAAGTTGCTTATCGATTCAGGGTTCACTTGAAATTTGAACTTATACTAGCCTACAGCAGTTAAGCCAATCATCCTGCCTTCGGTAGTTACAATGATTAGTTTTCAACCTTGGAAGTTAGCTTACACTAGCCTATGACAGTTAAGTCAATCTTACCGAAAGCAAAGCTACTTGATTAATCATGAAAATTAAAGTGCTTGAATTAAAGGATGCCCTCGGCATCAAAGCGTTCAGAACATATTGCCTCATGACAGGTTACATTTAATAAAAACTTAAACAAAGCTCAAGCGGCAGTCTCCTCCTCGGCATCAGGAGCAACGGGCTCTTCCAGGACGTCCTCCACTTCGTAATCTTCTATCATCTCCAAGAGCTCAACCAGCTTTAGTTGAAAATAAGAAGAAGCTTTTGGAGAAGATTATCATTGCAGAGCGTACGAAGCTTTCTGTCAGGCGGCTGCCTCCTCAGTCTCGGCAGCGACCCCATCACCTTCGGCAGTCTCCTCCTCGGCATCGGTAGGAGCCTCTTCTGTGGCATCCTCCCCCTCGTAGTCCTCGATCATTTCTTCGGTTATGCCTTCAGGAAGAGAGGGAGGATCGGCAATGAAGTTGAGGTTGAGCATTTTACCAGGGTTGTACTGCTTGAAACGGTAGAGCATATCCGCCATTTCCAAGCCCACTTCCTTGTCAGGCAAGGTAGTGAACTCTGAAGACTGACGGTACTCCCGTATTGCCTCCTGGACGGCCGCCTCGATCTCCAAAGCCCTGACTCACTCCGACTCCTCAAAGGCCACCTGGATCGCCTCCTTTGACTCCAGAGCCTCCTTTGCCGCTAGCTGCGCCGACTCCAGGGCTGCCGACATCTCACCGAGCTTGGCTTGATAAACTTTAACCTGCCGTTCGGCAGCCTGCATGTCCTTCGCCAAGTTCGCCTGAGCTTGGATAGCCTTGCCAGCCTCGACAACCTTTGCCCTGCCATCGTCATAAGCCTTCTTCACCTTTTCAGCGGCATTAATTGCTCGCTTGACTATAGCCACATGTCCATTGAAGCCTGGAGAGCAAAGGAAAATGTCAGCAAAGATGGCCCTCGCAGGCTAGGCCTGTCGCCCGCGCTTTGGAGCGGGATCGGCATCCAGATCGACTGTGAATGGCCTTTTGCCAGCGACTTTGGAGGGGGTACACTCGGTAGGTATACCTCGGCTGGAAGACGGACCGGCAGCAGCCGCTTCGGCATGCGCCGATTCAGCGTTCATTTTACGACGACACTCGTTGAGGGTTAGGTCCTCGGGGTAAACCCCTCCCGAAGACGCTGGTGCCGTTTCCGGCTGCTACCCATTTTTCTTCTTCCCCTGCATGCCGAGCATGAGGCGCCGTTTGGAGGACTCGTTCATCCTCTTCGCCTCGGCAGTCCTCCTCTCTTCGGTAACTACAAAGCAAAGATCGGTCAGATTACCTATTATGGCTTTAAACTGTGTCGAAATGAACAAGTACACTTATTCTCGATAGGGTTGACAAGTTGAGCTTTGATGAGATTGGCGGTGGAGAGGAACTTCGGGTAAATTCTCTCCATGGCATGGACCTTCAACCTTACCCGCTCGATCTGCCTGATCTCCGCTTGTGTAGCGCTCGGCTGCTTCAGTTTGCCTGCACAAAAAGGAAACGGAATTAAAACTTTCTGAAGGACGACATACTCTAGGAGGCATACCGAACGGTACGATGGCCTACCGGCAATTTGGAAAGTAGTGGGAATGTGGAAACAGACGGGATAACCCGAGGGCGACTCCTAATCACCGGACAGAAGCACCCTCCGTTTCCTCCACGTCTTCTGAGAGGTTGGCACGGCACTGACAAAATGGTCGCGCTCGGTAGCCTTCAGGCAGTTAGCCTGAACCCAACCCCCATGGTCGGCAAACTTCGACTTCGTAACGCTGTACAGATGGGAGAACTGTTCGTACGAAGGCTCTCTCTCGCCAGCCATGCCGAAGGCTGTGACCACACCTATTAGCGCTACCCAGAAGTTGGGATTGAACTGGTCGGGAGCATAGCCTATCTGCGCCAGGATCCTCTAAACGGCGGGCTGCAGAGGAAACCTCACTCCTTGCAAAAGTACGCCCGTGAAAAGGACGACTTCGCCATCCTTCGGATTGCTTAGAGATTCGGTAGGATTTGGGATCCTCATCCCTACAGAATCTGGTATGAAATACTCGGCACGGAGCTTCGCAATCTCTCTCTCGGTGATCCTGTTGGGCTCCAAATAATCTACGCCGAAGACGAGCTCCTTCGAAACTCCCATCGGCACCCTAGGATTGCTGGGATCAACTACCGAAACCCTCGGCCGAAGAGATGGCTCAGCGGCTAACTCTCCACGGCAGGAAGTGGAGGCCTCTGACTGGCGACTAGCGCTCGCCTCCCCAGGCAGGACTTGACTAACGTGGCGACCATCGCTATAGACTATAGCCAACAGTACCGGTGATGTCATTAACCCCTTTCCGATGCCGTGTGTAGGAACGGAGCTGGGCCCTTCACCGAGTATCTTTCTGTCCTCGGCATCAGGCCCTGTCGCTTCACCATCGGAGTCAAAGAGACCATCGGATGACTCTTCATCGAATGCATTGGGCTCACGCTCGGAGAATGACTCGCTATCAGACATCTACAAAAACAGGGAAAAAGGAAACTAAGGCTCATGCCGGATGCTATCCTACCGATCCATACATCATTATCTATGGCAACTAGACTACCGAATGGAACCCTATGGTCAGTCTAGTTCAAACCAAGGAAGGATGTAACTCTTAAGATATGTAAGAGAGTAAATTGAAGATGTCGAACGGTACCTTAATTCAAACTCTGGAAAAGAAACACGAACTGTGTAAAACCCTGACTCCAATTTTTTTTTCCTATTTTAATTAAATTAAGAGAAAATATGAATTTACTCTTGGGTTGAGGGTAATTTTGGTCATTTTCTTATCCGGGAAGATTTCGGGACCACGAGTGGTTTGGTTGCGTAGGTGGTACTGACACGAAACCGTAGACTTGCGGTAGGCTTGAATCGGAATTGTAACGAAGTTTTGGCGATCAAATTAAGTTCGATGGCAGAACCGTAATTATTTCGAAAAATTTGGTAAAAAACAGATTTTTTCATTTTTACCTCATTCTCTCTCTCTCCCCGCGTACGCTCTCTCTCTCTCTTCACTCTCGACCCCGACCCTTTCTCTCTCTTCGATCTCCCAGCACCGGCCATAGCTGAGCGTGAGACCAGTCCCGTTCGACTCGTCGTGAAGTCTCGATCACGACCCACCCAATTTCCCCGCCGGAAACCGCGAATCCCGCTGTCAGTTTTGACTGGTTCAAACCGGAGGTTTTCGCGCTATCGCACCGCCGTCTTCGCAATCTGTTTCCGGTGAACTAGGTGAGGTTTCTTCTTCTTTTTACATGCTCTAGCTGTTTATGGGGTTAGATTAGAACGATTTTTAATTTTGGAAATTGATTTTGGAACTTAGGTTTTGGCCGGTTTTCAATGTGAAATTTCGGCCAGTTCTCGTACGAATTGGACGTTGCTGTAGTTGAAAAAGATGCTCCATTCGTCGAGTAGTATCTAGGATTGGAAGGGTGGCTTGTGATTTGGAGATTTTCCGTCGCCGGAAATTTCTCTACACACCCATGCCTTGCCAGCGCGTGTGGCGGCGCGTGGGCAAGGCTGGTGAAGTTGTTTTTTATCTTGATGAGATCCTTAGGTTGTCACGAGTGCGTAGAATTTTGCGGACTTCAATTTGGATGTCGTTTGACTATCGACCGGATTTCGCATGTTGTGCGTTATCCAGGTTCGATAAGTTCTAACCGTCGGATCGTTTCCAAACTGAACTATGTTGATCTAGGTACTCTTAGAAACCTATAGGAATTTGCGGATCGTGAATCGGAGCCCCGGATGTTCCGATTCAATAATTTGAAGTTTGGGAATTCGCGATAACCGTACGATTGGAAGCGATTCCCAAACCTGTAATCGGACCTTAGGACATTCCATTGGACGTTCACGCACCGGGAACTTGGGGATTTAAGTATTTCCTTTTGTGAATTTCCGCTTTGAAGTGAGTTATATTAGTCAAGAGTTCGTATCTCGAAATAGGTACTTCGGTCGATCATTCGCAGCAGGCAGGACCCTCTCGGGGCCGGGCAGCTTGGGATTATCTGTTAGTGGACTTTGTTTTAAGCATATGCATGGTTTTATTGATAAAAGATTTGTGCATATATTTTAAATGGTGATTTTGATTTAACAATTATTTGGTTGATGGATTTGAATATTCTTATATGTATCGGCAATATATTTTGAGTATGAGGAATATGTTTATATGAATTTTGGAATGTCTATCTATATTGCCTATGTATAGAGTATGAGAGGTTGTTGTGGTGAGATTGTGGAAAGATATAAGTTTGAGGGATGGTGGTGAGAAGTATGAGTATGTTAGGTGAGTACCATTCCTTAGTTACTAGGCTTCCCACACACGTCGTTGGCAGTGCCGGTGGGGTGGGAAGGCCAAGAGATTGTGGGTCTCACACATGTCGTTGGCAGTGCCGGTGTGTGAGACACTTCCCATACGTGTCGTTGGCAGTGCCGGCGTATGGGAAGAGTATGTATATTACTTAGTATTATCACATACGTCGTTGGCAGTGCCGGTGGGGTGATAATACTGTCTGCGCGCGTAGGACTTGCTATGAGATTTGTGAGCTACACGTGTCGTTGGTAGTGCCGGCGTGTGAGCTATGGAGCTCCGTCCCCCGGTTGGACTACTCATCCCTGGACGCGGGTTAGTGCTCGGAAATCCTGCATACCAGCCAAACAATCCCCCGGTTGGATTGTTTCCCCGGTACATTAGTACGGAGAGAAGTATATATTATCTCATAGTTATAGATATAGATATATATATATATATGTGTGTGTGTGTGTTTACGGGTTGATGAGAGTTGCATATCTTTGGGAGAGTTGTGATTTTGAGTTGTGTTTTGAGTATTTGGTTTCTGAATTGTGAAACTGCATGCTAGTGCATTATTTTTACACAGTGGGGTTATTATGTTGTTTTAAAATGCAAACTTTATTTTTGTCCACTCACATATTTCTATTTTGCGCCCCCCAGGCAGTAGTTGCTTTTGGAAGCGTTCGAGCAGGTTGCGGGCTCAAAACATTTCATCCGTATATAGGACTTGTGTAAATTCCTTCTACTCAACTGTTTGTTATAAATAAATTCTGTTAGATGCTCTGTTATCGCCCATGTTAAGTTGTTACTTGAGGCCGGAGGCCACTTTATTTCGGATTGTTGTATGTTGAAAGCATGCTGGCAGTTGGGTTTTATTTTATGTAAATTATGCAGGTTGAATATCGTTGGGTTTGAGCATTTTACAAGGGAGACTCTGCCAAAATTTTGGTAGGATGTCTTGGGTTTTTAGTAAGTGGGCCCGGCATCGGTGTGATGTCGGCACCAAGACGGGGTCCGCCCCGGTTTCAGGGGAAATTCTGGGGCGGGTCCTGTCAAACTGCGCTCCAAATCGTCTTGACGAAAATCGCCTTTCTTGCCGTTCGCAACGCTGGAAATCTCCTAGTTACCGTTAGCCCTTGTCGAAAATCGCCTTGAATGCCGGAAGCTCTCGTCGGAAATCGCCTCAACAGAGCTCTCGCTTATCACGAAATGCAAAGTGATTTCGCCTCCGAGGTCATCTCTATTTATAGGGAGAGGGGTTGCAACGGTATACCTCGGAAAACCAAACGGCGCATTAATGCGCCGCGCACCATGATTACTCTCACCACGTGTCGCTCATCCTATGGGGGACTGATGGCACGCGATGCACGAAAGATGAAGCGCCCAGATGTCCCTTCACCCGTCCACTTGACGCGACCTTCTGACTTCCCCAACGTCAGCCTCTGAATGAACAAGAACGAAAGAGCCAAAATTGAGCCCTATCACCAAACTGGTTTACCGAACGGTAGGACAACATTTCCTTTCGAAGACAACTTCAAATCCCCTTCCGAGAACTCTCACAAGAGGACTTGGGGGACTCCTGTTTATACCAAAATGAACAGCCAATGAACATCGGACACGTGGACCAAACTAGAGCTATGAGATCCTTCGGCACCTGGCTTCGGTATCACGCCTACCGATCGTACGATTAGGGCAATCTCACCCCCAAGGGACACGTGGCAGTCCCACAATTGATGCCCAGAGTCCCACATCGAAACTCTAAACAAATTGCACACCTCCCAAGGCCTATAAAAGAGGGCAACCATCCCAGCTTAAAGGTAATCAATCATAACTCACGGCATACTGCCTATTGATCTGTAGTTCAAACTTACTAAATCTGTACTTACTTAAGCATCGGAGAGCCTTCGGCCGGTACCACACTGGTGCCCTAGGTCTTACAGAGCATTCGCTATTTTGCAGATCGAACGCCCTACCGAGGCCCAGAGCATACCGAAGGCCCAAATATCTCTAAGTTGCGCGGGAAAGTGCCAAACCGTTATTCTGCGTCAACATATCTCATCAAGTTAAAGTGGTGCTCATCATTTTATATACACTTTTCATTCTCCTGATGTCTACAAAAGTAGACATGATTATAGAAGAGTACGGTAGTACAATCATGTGATACATTTTGTACACGTATTACAATATAAGTTGATATATATTTATTGATAATATTCCCTAAAATAGGGGAAAAGAAACCATATTGTCCACTCATATTATAACACATGTACAAAATATATCACGTGATTATATTACTATACTATTTTATACTATTTTATAATTGTTTGGCAATTCATACCGTAGGGTCCTTCTCAAGCTTTATTTATTATATTCTTCAGTCATCTCAAAGTGCAATGGTTTGGTATCACAACTAAAGCAATCCAATTGTGCCTTGCGGGGCCTTACTTTTTACCATGTCACTTTGCTTGATTCTATTAAAAATTGAAGCTTTTTGATTAATATAGCATTAGAATATAATTGTCGGCGAGATTTGAAACCTCCGATCCAAGTATGCTCTTGGGGCTCCTCCTATATTGAATTATTTGGTTTGTATTGGGAAATGTGAACTTAGATACAAGAAAGCGAGCTCACTACCTTTTTCAATTAATCCATCCCACGTATGCCAAGCATGCATTATATGTTTGTTTTAAACAAATGCACTTTATCTTTATAATTAACGAGTGTAAAGTGGAAAAAGTAAGAAAGAACTATCTCTATTCTTTAGATGTCTCAACCTGCAATGATTTGACATTGCAATAAAAGCAATATTCTAACTGTGCCTCGTGGGACCTTATTTTGTAGGGTTTTTCGCAGCAGTGGTCCCTCAACTATACCTCGTTTTGCATTTCGGCCACTGAACTCAATTATTAGTTGCAGCGGTCACTCAACTGTGCGTGTCTTTGCACCAGTAGTCCTTCCGTCAAGTCTGTTAGTTTTTCCGTTTAAAATGATGACGTGGCAAGCATATGTGAGAATCTCTTAGATTCGTCAGGGGCAAATTTGTCTTCTGATGTCTGGCATGTCCAACCTCCCATCTCCCTTCGAAAAAGGTCAAATCTGGCGCCAAATAAATCCACATAAAAACAGTAGATCTGCTGAAATTTTGGAAACTGGAAGGAAATCTAGGAAGCCATTTAAAGGGAAATCTGGGAGACCAAGGTCCCTCCTGGCGCAAAAATGTCGCAGATTTCTTCTTCATCAACAAATCCGAGCCCTAGTGCGAGGAAGTTATGGTTTCATTACAAATTTGAAAATTTGAAAATCCGAGCCCTAGTGCGAGGAAGATTGCTTAAAAAACATTATCACAAAGGGTTTCATTAAAAATTTGAAAATTTGGAAACCCATGCTTGGATTTTTTTTTTTTTTTGGATATAAAGGATTATTTTGAGTTTTATTGGTTGGTTGGTGTAGAATATAGAAGTAAACTACCTTTGAAATACATCTTGGATCTCAGATCATTTCAATCAGGATCAGCCGAGAAACTTGTAACAAATTTTGCTGCATTTTGGTGGGACTTTCCTTAAATTATGGGCTCCTAGATTTAGGAATTTTGATATGGAAGGTTATTATTCTATGATGATATGGATTACTTATGTAAAGTTAGTTCCATTTTAGTCAGCTCAAATTCCAATTATAGTTAAGTCTCTAATTTGTACCTTATTGGTTGGAGGCTTCATTTTGATTGTTTTTTTTCCCTCCTCTCATTTTGATTGTGTTTGCTTGGTTGTTTTGGCATACCATGCTATCTGGAATTAATTGAGCATAAATTACAGACACAAATGTACAAAGAATGCTGTTGACATTATTAATTTAGTGATCTGGATTTAGAATCATTGAATCAAATGCTAGCTTTGTTTCAAATTAGGCAGAATTGGTTCTGGGGTATACTTATGCTTGTCTCCCTCATATGACATGGCACAACTCTCATGTAGTATAGGCGATGAAAAACCCTATGCCACTAATTTTGGTAAATGACTAGCTTTTCTTTTCATACAGGAAGGATGGGAATTATAAACGAACTGTAATCGCATGCTTCATACAAGCAATATATTTGCTTGAACTCGACAGACAAGAGAATAGAGATGAAGCAAATGCTCTAGCTCCTAAGTGGTGGATACCCTTTAGGTATAAACTATCCCAAACCTTAGTCGATGAAAGAGATGGATCCATATTTGGGGCAATTTTGGAATGGGATCGATCTGCAGCACTTGCTGACTTTGTACTCATCAGACCAAGCGGTGCACCAAAGGCGATTCTAGCACTTAGAGGAACATTGCTCAAAGGCCCAACTATGCGAAGGGATATTGAAGACGACCTTCGGTTTCTTGCTTGGGAGAGCTTGAAGGGCTCTGTTAGGTTTAAAGCAGCTATGGAGGCTTTGAAATCAGTTGCTGAAAGGTATGGAAGTAGTAATGTTTGTATTGCGGGACACTCATTGGGGCCTGGATTTGCTCTCCAAGTGGGAAAAGCATTAGCCAAAGAAGGGATTGTTTATACCAAAGTGAACAGCCAATGAATACCAAACACGTGGAACAAACCAGGGCTACGTGTGCCTTCGGCACTCACCTTCGGTACCAAGCCTACCGATCGCAACATTAGGGCAACCTCGCCCCTCTGGACGCGTGGCAGTCTCACAATTGACGCCCAGAGTCCCACATCGAAACTCTAAACAAATTGCACACCTCCCAAGGCCTATAAAAGAGGACACCCATCCCAGCTTGAAGGTAATCAATCAGAACTTACGGCATACTGCCTATTGATCTGTAGTTCAAACTTACTTAATCCGTACTTACTTAAGCATCGGAGAGCCTTCGGCCGGTACCACACCGGTGCCCTAGGATTACCGTGTGTTTGCTTTCTTACAGATCGCACACCCTACCGAGGACATCAGATACTGAAGAGACCTAATCACTAAGTTATGCGGGAAAGTATTAAACCATTTTTCTGCGTCAACAG